GAAATACATTTCTTTAAGAAATGCTTTGATAAAATTTATATCATATTTTGTTTTGGGAACAAATTCCGCAGTACTTTTCTCAAGAAGTTACTCTGATTTTTATTAAAAAGCATAATCGAAATCTGTCTTTTCTGGCCGTAAAAATGAGGATGTCACATTCCGCTTTTGAGATATCACTCTGATTATTATGTTGTTAAGATACTTATTTTAGCTTTGGTTGTATGTATAATGTTTTTGGAATTACCGATTTATCTAAATTAAAAATGAAAATTTTGGATCATATTTTTGGGACATTACACAAAGTTCTGAAAAACTCATTCCCAAACATACCTATTTTTTTTAAACACCATTGTTTTTTTTTAATATCATAAAGTAAGCAAGTATAACATTTTGTTCACAAAATAGTGAAAGACCATCCAAATAAAGGTAATTTTTGACCAAAGTATTCCTAAAAACATGATTTTTCTATATAAAAAAACAAAAAGTTAATTACCCCTTGACATCAACCCTATTTTATTACAAGTGTTTGTTTGGAAAAATATATCCAAATATGCAATGTAATCCAAATAAGCAACTTTCACATAGACTTCTCAAAATATAATACTCCAATAAGAAAACAAATTAAAGTATAATGTTATAAAATATAACAATTTAATAAAAACATTAAAATTACAATGTTGTAATAGAAAAACATATCAAAGGAAAAAAAAAAGAGATTGCTGATATATAATTTATAATTTTATATATACAAAAGAACCTAATAAACTATCAAAATCCCTCCGCCTTTTTCATCCACTTTCATTTTCACGGTTGTTGACTTGTTGACTCTCGAGCAAGTAGGTTGTTAGATATCGTTTGGTCAACTTCAGTCATATTGGACTTGCCCTTGATCCCTGCACTTAAAAGTCAAAGTCAACGTTCTCATTTTTTTTTTCTTTTACACAAATCAAGATGATTTGTACCAGGTAAATAAAAAGCTAAGTGTTGTAGATTCTTCCAGAACATTATTGATTAATATATATATATATATATATATATATAGAAAGCATTTGAACCTGATTTTGTGCAGTTGTAATAGTAGTCCAATGTTGTGGTTGTGTTGTAGTAGTTGAATAGTCACTTACAAAAGCAAGTGTTCTAGATTCTTCCGGAACATTAACCGCAACCGAAGGTGGCAATTCTCTCATTACCCATAACACAAAACCTGAAGGTACGGATGAACCTGGACAAACATGGCATCATGAAACTATGGATTAGGGTCAAATATCCAAGAAATAGCAATGTACTTTCATTCATTTCTTTATTATTACAAAATTCCACCCAATTTCGCAATGTCATCCAAATACAAAGCAATTAATTTCAGAAAGAAGAAAAAATGGTGATTGATTTATTTAATATAATTTAATTTACCTATGAAGTAGTAGACAATGAGTAAAAGAGAGGCATAGAGTCCTCCAATTCCCCGCCACTCACAATGATACAGAACCTGTGAAAATGAATGAATGCATTAAATTAAGAGCTTGAGGAAAATGACTGAATGAATTAAGCACAAAAATACATACGGGTATATTTGTAAATATAGCAACGACTGAACTTGAGGTGAAACAAACAACAGAAACTATAGCAAGTCCAGCAACCTGAAAAACAGAAACAAAATTGTTTAGTAGTATAGTAAAGAAAGACCTAATTACACTTTTGGTCCCTCTGTGTAATTGCAATATCGACTTTTTATTTTATTTTTTAGCATTTTTATTCCCTATATACGTTTTAGGTCCGTGACTTGCAGAATGTTTAGAAATGGGTGTTAAGCCCATGTAAGATTACCTATTTGCCCTCCAAATTTATATTTTATTATATTGGTGGAGTGAAGGACTTTTTGAGGTTCTGGTTTAGGGATTTGGAGAGGGAGATGAAAAATATGAGGGGCAAAATGGTCATCTTCATAAAACTAACAAACCCACGGATGAAAAACGTTAAGAAACAGTGAGATAGGGATGAAAAATGTAACAAAAATTAAAATAATAATAATAATAATAATTGGGATACCTTCCACATTTCGCAAGAAGTCCTCTCAGATCGAACTTTACTCATTTTTGATACCAGCACATATCCTGTACAATCAATCAAGGGTTAAATGCAAAAAAAGAAAAATGGCAAACTACTTGTATTGATTAGAGTTTATAATATTAACAGCATCCTACTTTCATTTTTCCTATTACAACATTGTAGTTTCAGATATCAACCCAATTATAACAATCTCATCAAAATACAATGAAGTTTTCACCGTTATACCTAGACAACCATTTCAAAGTAGAATGTCCTCAAAAATACAATGCTATAAGCCTATAATTGGGTAGATTTTCAAAGTACAATGTTATAATAAGAAAAAATAAAAATGAAAGTACAATGTTGTGTTGTAATGGAAATTAGAAAGAAATGAAAATATAATACACTAATAAGTGAAAAAAAAAACGTAGCTATTCCTTGCATAAACAGAAGAAATCTGTAGCATTAATATTTAAAAAATTAAAATAATAATAATAGTAGCAGATACCGAAGATGCTGACCGTAGCATGCTAATGCGCCTCCTAGGAAAAACATTGCAACAGCAAAAGTATCTACATACACCTGCATCATATCATATCATATTCATATTCATATTCATATTCATATGTAACCTTATTACTTTCATTTCTTCCTGTTACAGCATTGTACTTTGATAAATTATCTACCCCATAAATAGATTTTTCAAAGTACAGTGTCTTGATAAGAAAAAGATTGAAAGTAGAATGATGTGGTAGAAAGAAATGAAAGTAGGATGCTATAATACACAGATAGATGAAAGTATGTTGCTATTTACCCGTGCCACAACTGAGGAATCAATAGGGTTTTTTCCAAGGCCAATCCATATAAGCACAGCAGATGCCAGCATTAACACAAGTATTAATAATGTCACCTGTTAAATCAATTATATCAGTCAACATTTCATACATCATTAAAACATGAGTAAAAAAATCAAATAGTCAATAGGGGCAAAATTGAGAATTTATAAAATTATGCACAGCATACATACCAATATGACAACTTGTTGACGGCTGCCACCAGGGAAGATTCGAATATTGCAACATCTTCTGCGGGTATAATTAATAACCTTCAAATTTGGATTTGGATTTGGTTTATTTACTTTCTCTACCAAAGCTTCATAGGGACTACCTTCTGATTCATCCTCATCTTCATCATTTGCCTGATGGCAAAGGTCAACCCTATGATTGTTGACCATCAATTTATATACAGATAAATTTATAAAAGAAAAAGTAAACTGATAGACTAGGGAGTTTAAAAGTTAGGGTTATATGCAAGAAATAGCAATTTCCTTTCATTGATTTGGTTATTACAGCATCCTAACTCCTAACCTTGTTTTTGTTTTTGTATAAACTATATGCATACCATGTTTCATACAATTATATTGCTTCCCTCAAACACATCAAAGTTATAGGCTACCTCATCCAAAACTATGCTTCAATTTTGAGTTTTAAATATCTAATTTAAGAACTATGTAAATAAGCTATTTCTTTTATATTTGGACTAATTTATCAAATAGATAAATAAGAATCCTAATAACCTCGTTTTTTTAACAAAACTAGAAGCACATGTAATTCAAATTACAGTTGCATTACTTTAACAGGCTCATAAATCTATCCAGATCTTCTTAAAATTCCAGACACCAAATGAAACGTACCAGAAAGATAGAAGAAGAAGAAAAGCTGCAAGAAATAGAATCTTGGGCAATGCTGCAAAACAAAATACTTTTTACTTTTTATAATTATCCAAAAGAGTGTAATTGTAATATACGAATTTCCTGTATATAATTAACAACATACCCATAACAACAAAACCACAAGAACTTGACCAGCATATCCACTTCTTACAAGCAGCAACAAGAGTTAATATAAAATAAAGACCATAACCTGTCACCAAAAGGGAAAGAAAAAAATTATATTTAAAAAGTGAAGAGAAAAAACCATGTTTGTTGGAAATGGATGGACTTTTAACTTGAAAACCATGTTGACAAAGTTTATTATAATAGCATAAGGAAATTTAATGTCTCCAAATTAATACAAAGAAAAAGTCTAAGATATAAGTATCCTACCCGTGTTGGCAAAACCAATCATTAGATGAAACACCTGCAATTAGATTTTTTAAATGAGTTACTATAAGTTACATTTGATGACAACTATAAAGATGATTGTAAAGTAGAAATCATAATATGTAACCATAATATGATAATAACGATGTACTTACATTTGTATACACAAAATAGCAAATACTTACAATTCCTTACCCATAAAAGCAAATTATTTACATTTCTTCACCAAGAACAATAATATGTAACAAAATTAAATATATTGCCCATACTGGTAGCGAAATGTAAGTACGTTGCTATTATGAGTGCAAATTTAAAAGTGTGTTGCTATTATAGGTAAAAGTCAAAGTACATTGTTATTATCAGTAAAAAAATTTAAGTATGTTGCTATTATGGTAATAATATAAGTATGTGAAGAAAGTGATGCTTACATACTAGTGTAAAGATAAAAAGGATATTGACAAATAATGTATGAGAAAATTTTGTCAAAAAGTTAGGACTTAATGGGGAAAGCCTCATTTTCCTAACTTTTTCAGTTAAATCGTTCTTTTTGCATTAAGTCAAAAAGAACACTCATTTATAGTTTAATGGATTACGTCGCCCATTAAGCCAAAAAGAAAAGGTAGCAGTATTTCTTCATGCAAGTTATGAAAAATAAAAGATATTTAAGGGGTATTACTTACTTTCTGTCGAGTCCAACCCCTCTGTGGATTCCTAGAATGAATTCTCATCAACTGACACAAGAAAATGCAAAATATCAGTTGTCAGTATTAAACAAAAAATCTTACTTAGAATTTAAGTATTGAAATTTAACATCAATTAGTACTATGCAGCATGACAAAGTTATGATCTTTGAATTAGAAAAAGCTATAAAAAAGCATATTCCGTTTCTGAATTTGATTCTACAGAAATGCATACTCTCATTTCTGATTCTGATTCTCAAATTTTTCTGCATTAAGCATCGTATCAAAAAGAAACACTCCCATTAACTCCTGAAGAATCAGCACCTTAATGTACTAAAAAGTTATAGAAGAATGCTTTCTTATGCAGCTGTAGCTATTTCAGTCTTCAACAACAAGGATATTTAGGAACGACATCCTACAGCATTATGAAGCGAAACTAATTCTTCATTCAGGGTCAGCAAACAAATCCCATTGTCAACCAAATCACTACATGAACTCACGAGAAAAGAACTCGTTAACTCAGAGGCAACTAAAAGCAATTTACCCTATGCTAAAATTGGCAATATGTTTGACATATTAGAAGTGAATTTTCGATTTCTTCGATCCAAAAAACGAACCTTTTGAGAAATGGAGTGTTATAGCAAACCTAATAACCCAATTTGAAAAGTCAAAATGTGGAGATTGACTTAAAATAGAAGAGACCTGATAAAATGCAAGGACGGCAATAGCGATATCGACAAAAGCAAGAGCAAGATTGACAGCCACTAAGGCCTTTGAATAACAACCAGGCTCTGTGAACTCCCCAACCATCATCTCGCTCCTCAAGCATGCGGGCCCCATTTGTATGTCTTTTCTGTATTCATACATGAAGAATAGGAGTCTGAGGGCTTGGGTCGATAGCTAGAGAGTGTAGGGTTGGAATTTGGAAAACAAAACCTTGTTGTTGCTGTTGAGGTACCTATCAATGGCGGATCTGCTAATTGATAATTTGCTTTATATACCACTACTTACTATAAAATGAAATGTCTTTGGACTTGGTAGTGCATCTTCCGTTCTTCCTTATATTTGCACACGTATGTAATGATGTGGCGTTGTCCCTCGTCACTTTTTGAACCGTTTGGTTTTTTACCAAAACCGTTTGACTTTTGGTACCCGGTTTTCGGTCCAACCTGGTTATCTTGTTTAAATAACTAGATTATAACCTTCGTTAAACGCAGAGAAATGCATAAAAAAAAAAGTATAAATCGTTGAAGGACATATCTGTAGACAACTTTTTATGTTAAAAAGAATTGGATGCATTAATTGGTTAAAATGAAT